TCAACTCAGGTAAACTATAGAATCAGGGTACTCCTCAGTCCCACCTCACAGGGCTATACCTGTGTGTCAACTCAGGTAAACTATAGAATCAGAGTACTCCTTAGTCCTACCTCACAGGGCTATAACTGTGTGTCAACTCAGGTAAACTAGAGAATCAGGGTACTCCTCAGTCCCACCTCACAGGGCTATACCTGTGTGTCAACTCAAGTAAACTAGAGAATCAGGGTCCTCCTCAGTCCCACTTCACATGGCTATACCTGTGTGTCATCTCAGGCAAACTATAGAATCAGGGTTCTCCTCAGTCCCACTTCACAGGGCTATACCTGTGTGTCAACCCAGGTAAACTATAGAGTCAGGGTACTCCTTAGTCCTACCTCACAGGGCTATATCTGTGTGCCAACTCAGGTAAACTGTAGAATCAGAGTACTCCTCAGTCCCAACTCACAGGGCTATACCTGGGTGTCAACTCAGGAAAACTATAGAATCAGGGTAATCCTCAGTCCCACTTCACATGGCCATACCTGTGTGTCAACCCAGGTAAACTATAGAATCAGGGTTCTCCTTAGTCCCACTTCACAGGGCTATACCTGGGTGTCAACTCAGGAAAACTATAGAATCAGCGTACTCCTCAGTCCCAACTCACAGGGCTATACGTGTGTGTCAACTCAGATAAACTATAGAATCAGGGTAATCCTCAGTCCCACTTCACATGGCCATACCTGTGTGTCAACGCAGGTAAACTAGAGAATCAGGGTACTCCCCAGTCCCACTTCACAGGGCTATGCCTGAGTGTCAACTCAGGAAAACTATAGAATCAGTTTCCTCATTACCCCCACCTCACAGGGCTATACCTGGGAGTCAACTCAGGTAAATTATAGAATCAGGGTACACCTCAGTCCCACCTCGCAGGGCTATGCCTGTGTATCAACTCAGGTAAACTATATAGTCAGTGTACTCCTCAGGCCCACCTCACAGGGCTAAGGAGTACTCTCTCACAGGGCTATACGTGTGTGTCAACTCAGATAAACTATAGAATCAGGGTTCTCCTTAGTCCCACTTCACAGGGCTATACCTGTGTGTCAACTCAGGTAAACTATAGTCAGGCTACTCTACATAGATATTGAATTATGTTATGAGAATATAGCCAGTGGTTTAATAAATATGTGCAAATAAATACATGTATATAGATTTATGGAAGTGTTTCTCAATAGATATAACTGAAAGTAGTCTTGATGGATTTATAATATTTGTGTTACCGTTGATGTATGTGAGAATGGTCTCATATAGAGTTGTTGAATCTGTAGTGTTTAAGAGACTGCTCAGAATGTGAGCATGTTCCGAACATAGACCAGAATACACCCTCAATATCCATTTATAGTGGTAGAGTACATAGCCAAAATTCAGAGTTGTGCTCTTTTGTCCATTGAAGTTAGATATGTGCTCACACTGACATGACATACTCCTACCAGTGTCTTGTGCAGTATAAGGCTGAGAGGATGCAGAACAGTGTGCTACATGCCTTCGGCATGGTATTTCAGTAAGATAGCACTATAAAGTTGGCATCAGATCCGCGCTATCACAAGGAGGCAAACACACCAACATACCCTGCCGGACAGGGGTCTGTCTCAGGCACACACACACATACATGCATACACAAACACATGGAGGCACATCCTTTGGTGACCTTAGCTGTTGATAGGATAGTTAAACCCTATACAACCAACCAATCAAACCCTGTGTTATTGAGTAGGAATGGTTACAAGGACATGATGGTGATACAGATGTACTAGACAGGATCACATCTGAGGAGACGGATGATGAAGAGGAGGAAGATTTGGATATGGCATCTTATCAGGTATTTAGACCTCTCCAGTGGTGAAGATAAGAAAAAATAATATTTATCAGTGTTATTGTAGCTTAACTGGACTGGGTCTATTGCCAGTGACCATGTAGCTCAATTGGTTAGAGCGCCTGTCTAGAGTTCAGAGGTCCTGGGATCGAATCCCAGTCTGGCCATTGCATTTTTCCTCCTTTCCTGTTACATTACATCCTCGATGCTCCAGAAGTTTCGCTCGGTCTTTTTCACTTTGTGCACCCCTGGAATGTATCAAAGCAAAAGTAAATCTCATGGTCGTGTAACGGTAAAATTGACTGGCTTTGAAATCAGGGTGCTGCTCCTCTGTAATCTTCAAAGGAACAGGTGTCAGCTTAGCGATTGGTCAGTTTTATTTTAACTGAGACCAATGAAATAGCTAGCTGAGTTGCATCAATTTTGCTGTGACATATTCCAGGGGTGCAGAGAGTGTAACCCCTGGAGTATGGAGGATGGTTACATTAGCACAGAGTGAAAAATGGTTTTTGTGCGTGGAATCACCTGAACTAGCACCTTTTGTTTTTACAGGGAATCGTGACCTCAGATGATCTAGCCCCTTTCGGGATATATGAACTTGATGCGAAAGTTGGGTACGTTAAAGTAAGATTGTGTGAAACAATTTGAATCTCGAAAAGCAAATTATATTTCCAAGTTAACTTAACTCTAGAGGTATATGTATGTATTAAAATTTGTGATAAAGACTTGATTTTAGCAAGATCGTTTTAATCAATATATAAAAATGATAATGTGAAATTTGTATTTAGGTCAATGAGGTTTCTATTGAATATCTGCGATTAAAAGTTTTTTTGATAAATTAAACATTTACAATGTTTACAGGGATATCAATATATGTTTAGATATTAGTTCAGATAACAACATACCAGGGTACAACTGTGGCTCATTCCTTTTACAGGCTGTGTGTGAGCTGTGTACCAGCTGTCCACAAGTACCAGTTCCTCAGGGTCGGGTCAAAAGTTATCATTTACAATGCTCACTTCAGCCGTTCAAAACAGGTATCTGTAACGAGACTATGTAGTTTATGTTTCAAATATGAGCCAAGTACCGCTCAATGTTATATCCTTCAAAACACCTGTTGAATCCTTTGCTCGCGCATGTGTAACTTACAAAAAGTCACAATAAACGTTTGTAGCACGACATTTGAAAGTTACCTTTATATGTATTGTGTACAAAAGTGTCAACGGCATGAGACAGTATCAAATAAACAATGCTGTGTTGGGCACTCCATGGTCCAGGTCAGCGTTTCTGATAGTCAGCTCCTTCAGCAGTCTTAATCGTCCTACTCTAGTTGTTTTTGGCACTTTTTATACCTTGATGAATAAAAGGGGTATATAGTATTCACTTTGTCTGGACCGTGCTTTTGTGCTGATTGTAGTTTCTGGAGCATATCTCAGTCGCTGTTCCATGAACGGGCATCATAGTTTCTGAAGCATATCTCAGTCGCTGTTCCATGAACTGGCATCATAGTTTCTGAAGCATATCTCAGTCGCTGTTCCATGAACTGGCATCATAGTTTCTGAAGCATATCTCAGTCGCTGTTCCATGAACTGGCATCATAGTTTCTGAAGCATATCTCAGTCGCAGTTCCATGAACGGACATCATGGTTTCTGAAGCATATCTCAGTCGCTGTTCCATGAACAGGCATCATAGTTTCTGAAGCATATCTCAGTCGCTGTTCCATGAACTGGCATCATAGTTTCTGAAGCATATCTCAGTCGCAGTTCCATGAACGGACATCATAGTTTCTGAAGCATATCTCAGTCGCTGTTCCATGAACGGGCCTCATAGTTTCTGAAGTATATCTCAGTCGCTGTTCCATGAACGGGCATCATAGTTTCTGAAGCATATATCAGTCGCTGTTCCATGAACGGGCATCTTAGTTTCTGAAGCATATATCAGTCGCTGTTCCATGAATGGGCATCATAGTTTCTGAAGCATATATCAGTCGCTGTTCCATGAACGGGCATCTTAGTTTCTGAAGCATATATCAGTCGCTGTTCCATGAATGGGCATCATAATTTCTGAAGCATATCTCAGTCGCTGTTCCATGAACAGGCCTCATAGTTTCTGAAGCATATCTCAGTCGCTGTTCCATGAACAGGCATCAAACCTTGTATATAGGCACATCATTGGAAGGCAGTGTCTTACATCCTAAAATGAGGTCACTGTGACCTCAATTGGACCTTAGACCTTGTTTTGTAGTTTATAATTTAGATCATTCTGTTAATTTCAGTTTCCACACACAAGAGTTATGTGTTGCACAAGCAGTTGTGTCAAAGTGCTGGAGTTCTCTGTTCTGGACAACAAACCTAAGGTAGGAGCCATATTTAAACAATTTTGATAGTAATGACATTGTGTACCAAAATATGATCTTTTTGACAGTTGTTTGTGAACTATTATAGATAATAGATATAACCTTTAATACCTATCATTTCGTATTTGTCCTCAATAACATTGTTATATGACAGGGCATGGTAGTAATATGTCTGGTTGTATTGAGCTGTATTGGGCAAAGAGAAACACTAGAAAACTTATCAAGTCTCTGGCAATCAGGCAAGATGTGAGAAAAAAAGAGTGACAAATTTTTTATAGACAAGCAGGACTAGATGACTTTTGGGGATCACCTGTCACTTGGTCTGTCAAAACATCAGCTGCAGAACTGTTTTCGCAAACTAATTTTATATTCAAAATATAGTAGAGCAATGGAGGCAGTTATCGACAGTCTAAGCTTCAAATTTGTTTTTCCAGTTTACCGTTTTGCGTAAGTTATTTTATGATGGCATTTCGAAGAAGTCGGGAAACGTACTCTATTTCATCATCTGCAATAAACGTACATGTGACGAATCGCGGGAGAAATCATTGTTTTGGTGGCATTAATGACAGGGGTAGTTATCGACAGGTGGAGGTAGTTATCGACAGCTAAATTAAAATGTTAATTATTTCTATTATTAGTCTCTAATAATACATTCAATTGTTCTGACGTAAAAAAAGTATTTAATAAACAGATGCAATTTTATACAGTCACTAGTTATTTGACTAGTTCTACTGAATGGATGCAGTATTTCTTTTGTCAAATATGGCAGGCCTTAACCAATGGTACTGTGTCATGTTCATGTTAAAAACCGGTTTGATAACAATACATTAAATCTAAGTTGGAATTAGATTACAACCGATTTCTATATCAGATGGTGAGCCTACCGCTGATGTTACAACAGACCTTGAAGAAGTGTTGTGTCACACTAGGATTGCTGGATACATTCATCAGCATTGCCTACTCCCTCCACAAGAAATTTGCCAGAAGTTTTTATAAGTAAGCAGTTTGTTAACATGCTTGAAACAAAGGACTAGCAGCATTAAGGGTCATTTACGGCCTCATCGGGGATTTAGAATTAGTTGTTATATTCATAACCTGGAATAAATGAAGTACGCAAATATGAAATTTCAAATTCATTTGACATGAACTGGTTTAGGATATTTTGGATTACAAAGAGAGACATAAACTCAATGATGTCTGTTGTGCACTATTTGGATGAATATTTGCCATTTTGAAGGGAATAAACTAAACACTCTTCAATTTTTGAAAGCCTCCCCATGCAACAAACAAATAAATATTTGACTTGCTTAAACAATGTCATACCAGTGTTCATTCGTGGAAAGGATGTTTTGTTTGTCATATGCGGGAGGCTTTCATTTCTGCATGCTAACCGTCTGAAAACACCATATTTTGTCTATTTTTGCATAGCAACACAATTTCGTTGCTATGGTAGGGCATCTGTGCAATAAAGCCAGATCTTAACCCAGGTTTAGTGTTAAGTCTTGAAACCCATTTATTCTAACGGAGATATTGGTCCTTGTAGAGTTCAGTCTACACAGGTGTTACAGTATGGTAATTTTGTATAGAACTAGCAGTTTAGACTATTCTGTGTCGTGTGTACAGTTTAACTCATTCACCCCTTAACTCACATTTGAACATCACCTAATCAATAACTCGGCAAATCTAGTTTAAAATTTTATATTAGTACAAACTTTGTGCAGAAGTAGTGGTTCAGGCTGAAATCTATGTATATTTGTGGCTGTTTCTAAAATTCACTGATAGTTATTAAACATCTCTGAATTATTTGAATTATTATATCATATTTAATTATGATAAATCCTCTTATTTTGGAAAAGCAAAATCAGAAATCACGGAAAGTAACTAATCATATTAATTTGCAGGAAAACCCACCTAATTCAGTCTCAACCTAGCCAGGAAGTTTGTGATATATATCAACAATTTAAGTGAACCACATTGTGATTTCCTGCATTGTGTCATTTAATTACCTATAGCTGAACATGAATTACTATAAAACATATATTGTAATTGAATCAATTGTTTTGTTTTATTTGGTACAATATTTATTGTAATTGTGTTTTCTTATATGTTTTATTTGTTGTTGGTTGTTTCTTATACACAGTTTTTCTGTTTAATATATATTAAACTGTAATGATATGTTTTACTAAATTAGTTAATGTAGTACAAGGTGTATAGGGAGATCATGATATCTGTTCAAGTAAGGAAGTTAAAAGTGAGTCCAAAAGTCCTATGACCACCTGAGTAATGCTATGTTGAATACATTATGATAAATATTGTAGTGTTTACTTATCAGTGAACTGTGCTTACAGCATGTTACAATTGGTTTATGTCAGTGAACTGTCCAGCATACTAGAGACGACTTTTGGGCATTGTTGTGTTACTAACCAGGCCAGGGTAGGGCGAGTGTACATCCAGGAGTTCCTGTCCAGGACACACCAGTGTGGCTTACTGCTGGACGAGGTACTTGGTCAAACATTTAGCAGACATTTCTCTGATATTGCTCGTCTCCTCGCCCTCTAACTTGAAATACTTCCTGAGTAGTACTAGGCCATAGTATGACATGTAGATCCCCGAGACCTATATTCACTGACTTTGGTATGGTTAAACTTTGTGTTTGGCCCCATTTCTATCACCAGGGGCAGCAGGGGCATATCTATATTTTACAAACATTTACCATTTTTTAAACATCAATATCATTTAAAGTAATACTGGTAAATGGAATGTCATCACATTTATGACAGATACTCCCTGAAGGCAAAGTCATAACAACCAATCTTGTAAAACCATGAGACATATCAGGTCATAATGGAAGGTCAACTAACCTTACTATGTCTCATGACAGGATGAAAGTAAGGCGTATCTTGTTGTGCCAGATATGAGGAAGTTCTCACAGGAGATTGGATGTTTAGAGACAATGGCAGACAACTTGTCAGCTGACTGCAGTGACACCTATTGGAGCTACCATCACCAACTCCAGGGACAGCCACACAAGGTATGGCTAGTCTTACCTGTGTGGCATCTGTTGAGGCTATAGTTTTCATCTAGGGTATTTCTTAGACATATATGTAATATGTAAAAATATCTTGACATCTGTGCCAAGATTGAATCATTAGTGGAAATTTAGATAACACTGATATTTTTTGTATTACCAATGATACATAATAGTAATAGAATTATTTTAGTGATACAGTGCATAGATGTAACAAAATCAATTACAACAGCTGTATGGAAATTACAAAATATATTGCTATGAAACTTAACGTGCAGATTTAAATATGACATTGTCGTAACGATTGTTGACGTTTCTACTGAATTGCATTAGATGTGGGTGAACTTATAACCATGCAGATACCAGATAAATCTGTAATTTTGAATTGTTCCATTAATGTAACTGTAAATCATTCACCCCTGAAGACACCTTTGAACTCTTCCAATTCAAAGGTTGGAATAGTTCATTATGAAATTTCAAGGGTGAATTAGTGAAGAAATGTTAAGGGAGATAACTCTAACTCAAATCACAGGAAGGAAGTGAAAGGTAGCATGTGTTCTACCGTAGATATTTAGAATATTGTTAACTAGTTTTGTTTATTCTAGATTCAAGGACGAGTTAACGAAAATTGCATTCTTTTCAGATTTTATTTTATTATTATTTATTCTAGATTCTTGTTGGTGTCTTGGATCTTTCATCAAAGAATGGAAGGGTTAAGCTGAGAGATGATACTGGATCTATTGACTGTGTCATCACCATGACAACGACCTGTGAACGTCATGTCTGCACAGTAATCTGTGGTTGCTCTGACCTTGAACCTGCTTCTAACTTCACGTGCCCATTTCTGCACCCATGCTGTGTAGGTGCTGTTGTAGCGGTCACCGAATTCACTGTGATCCGTGAACAATTTACAAGTTTGAACTCCTCATTGAATAATTTGAAAATGACAGATTCTGACCCTAGTCCTTGTGATACATGTTATGTTATGTTTTCTATGTTGAATGTTGTACTGATATATAGACCTACAGTACTTAGGACTCATGAGGAACAGGTTCCTCACAAGAAGGGTAAAGTAGATCAAGATTACACTGGACTGCCCACTGATACAGACAAGGGCAGACAACTGGTGTTGATAAACCACAAGGAAACTTTGGTACTGGATCGAAGAGTTCACAGTGATTCACGTTTCAGGATGGCAGTAGAAGGTCACTTCCTACAACAGACAGACGAGGATTCCTTGGTCTGGAATGTCATACGGACACTGAAACATCCCCAGGAGCAACCTTCCCATCAACAGGACCTTCAGAAAGGTCATCCGGACAGTGATAAAAACCAATCTGTTCTTAAGTCAAAATCTGAAAACGTTCTCTCACCAGCTGTGATATTTTTGTTTCAAAACGATGCAGTACGATGGTGTCATTCTATTGTACCAGGAGGAATATACAGAGTTATGTGTCCTACTGAGAAGCTCTGCCCACCAGGGGCAGGTTCATGGCAGCTGAAAAAGGCAGTGGCTAAGGCGGGTGGCAGAAGTGTTCACGAAATGCCATCAAATGCTCAACTTTTGAGGGTGTTCCCAAACAAGGTTTGGTATCATCTTATTTTTGAAGTCAATTTACCATTTACTTTGATAGTAGAAACTTTTACTTATAACTTTTGCATGTGAACATTTTTGCATTTTGATTATTGAAAATACATTTGATGTTATTTTTTTTATCAATGGCTGGCATTGCTGTAGAAGAATACAAACTGCAGAATTGCCTTTTGTAAACATGTTCTTTTTTCTTCTTTTGTTAAGTATAAATGTATATCAGTAAAAATCTGACAAAATTACAAAAAAAAAAGAGGAGGGAGGAGGGGGGGGGTATATAAACATTTAGCAGCTTATGCAAATGCTGATAAGAAAAAGTGATGATTCTTATTTTACAGACTCATTCTGCAGCTGGCCGTGGTTCTGAAGGGAACCTGTCAATCAAGGAGATCCTGACAGAAAGGTAGACACATTTTGAGATGATCAGTATTTTGATATCATTGCATATGTCTGTCTGGGTAATGGCAACTTAGTAATGTACACCTATCTGTCCCTGTTTAAGGTAGTGAGTCCAAGCGCTCAGTGTTGTATCTCAAACAAAGAAGAGTTCCATTTTTTCTGCATTTTTCTGACTTTGCTGAGTTACGTAGATGCCATTTACTATACCAAAGAATTTTTTCTATTATTATTTCTTTTTTCATCAAAACATCCATCTCTGCCACAGGGATTTGATCTCCAAACCTATTGATTATAAAGCAGTAAGATTTTATTGTATTCAAAGGTACCTTTTTCCTTGTCTGGACAACTTCTAAACAATTGTAGACATCGTTAGATGTCAAGTTGTTGAAGGGCTTGTTAGAGTTATAAGCAACCAAGTATGTAGCAGATACATTATGTACCCTTCAACTCTTGGCAAAACACAATCGGACAAGATTTTTTTTCTATCTAAAATTGGGTGATCATAATTTCTTCAGTTGTATTTCAAGTAAGAAAGGATGTGTAGAAATCTAGAAAAAAATGCTATATTAAATTATCTAAATGGAGAATATCAGTTGTATTAGTGTTTAAACAAAGATAGTTTAAAATAAAACTGGCATAGTTTTCAGTCTTTTTCAGAATTTTAGCATAATGCAAACTTTAAATTTATCCCATTGAAATTGTTAAAAAATCTTCAGACTATTTGCCCATCAGCCCATTTTCATCTACAAAATGGTGTTGTAAATGTGGATATTTTCAATTGGTGTTTATTTCACTCAGACTACATTCACATTGGTAAAACCGTAATATTTTGGTGTTGAGACTGACAAGTATACATTATGAGTAGTCAATTCTACAAACAAATTTACACTATATTATTCTACTTATACATGTATTGCATAAGATGTAATAACTGTAAAATCAATAATTTTTAAATTTCGTTGGTCTTTTGGGTAATTTTCATCCATGAATTCATAGGTTCACAAAGTAAAAAAGCATTTATGTACCCATGAAATGGTCTTTAGTCGAGAAACCTAGAAATGTTGGCCCATGAAAATATCTGATTTCACAGTATAGAAACCAGTTCTGTGAAATTGTTAAATGGGATGTGAAAATTAGGAGTTGATGTACAGTAATGTGATAATGGTTTTCAGTTGTGGTGCCACACTGGTCAGTTTTGAGGGACTCCTAGTAAGACGATGTCCTGTCGAGTCGGACAACCATCTTACATCTACAAAGAGACCACTGTCTGCTGATCATCATTTAAATACACAGCTAGGTTTGTACTGATAGGAGGAGGGGGTTCACTGTCTACTTGTAGATGTTGACGGACAACAAAGTTACTGAAACAAAACGAATCGCTCCTATGTTCCTTACTGCATTATTAAGGAGCAGTGTTAAATTATTACAAACATAGTTATATTTTTGCACCTTTCTTCCTTGAGCTTTGTAAACTCTGACTGCGTATAAATTGGCATTTATAAAGTGCGTTTAAAGAATGTTCCAAATAAGGTGCCGGACTACTTCTATGTTTACTTCACGGTTTATCGAGATAACAGTCCGATGACAGCAATTCCTTGATTCGAGCTACTATTTATTGATTCATTTAAAAGCTATGAAAAGGTGAAGATAGTGTTGTTCACTGCATATTTTCTAAATTTACTCATATGTCAATGTAGATTCACTGGGAAAATATTATCCTAGCAACCATGGCTATCCTAGTTACCTTTAAAATATTTTTCCACTGTGACTATAAGAATAGACCTTCATTTTGATGCTAGCGCTCCATAAATAATATGATCATTGCCAACTGCATTCATACTACCGTATACGCGGTCAAAATGAAGGTCAATCCTTGTATATATTTATATGCATATTTATTTTGCTTAAAATTGTTCAGACCAAGTAATAATTTGAATTTGAAATATTCAATAATATGTGACATATATGCATATTTCCTTCTAGATATGATTGAAAAGTGAAATTTAAATATTATAAAACTTGCATACATTGTGATATTCCAGGTGTTGGTTGCCCTGACGGTTGTGGGGTGAAGGTCGTTGTGAGATGTCGGGAGTCAGGGGATGAAATGGACGTGTACTTTAACCTTGACTCCTTTGTGTACCCTCTGGGTTTAATCCCCGGGGTGGGGGTATGGTTGGAGCGGCTGGAAAGAAAGGTGTCGCGGAGGAACAACGTCTACTGTCAGTTTATAGCTGTGTCCTGTCTTCATGTTCAGTACCACACAGATATGGACAGGTTTGTAAACACTATGTTATATATACAGGTGAGATGGTATAAGTAGCTTTTACCACATATCTTTAAGCAGTAAATCTAAGTTGGCCTGATAGAAAATACTACAGGTCAAGAAAAAATTGGTGAAATCGCCCCCAGAAATGTTTGACCAGACCAACAGGACTATCCCTATATCTGAACTGATGCATTTTAGTCTCTCACAGGTGACACCAATGGTAATATAGGATTACACCATGTCTGTCAGTCAATTATAAATTTTATTTTCCATAGAGACCACAACCTACAGACAGTACTGCCATGACTGGTATATACCTTGTGAATTATCCTTTGTTCTGTTGACAGTGACGCACCTTCTCCAGACCACAACCTAGGAACAGTTCCTACTCACCTTGTGTACTTGGCTGATCTATGGAGAAATAAGATCCAAGGGTCACCCTTTCCTGTCTGTTGTCATGTACAGAGGTTCCTCAAACTGTCCCTAAAGTGGGTGTGTCACCACTGTGGGGCAGTCTGTGTCAGTGAGGCCTGTAGTAACCCTGGCTGTCGGGCAGATCATGGTACAAGGTTTCTAGCAAGAGCTAGGTAAGTAAAATCTGATTGGATGCTCAAGAGTGCTGTACTCAAAAGGGTATAAATGGTCATTGCTTTTATTCTTTTAGATCACCTAGCACAAACTGCCTGAGAACATATCTTTTTATCCCCTGCGAATGAAAAAAACCAATTGGGAGATATAGCCATCTGTCTGTCCGTAGTGCTTGTCTGGATTATACTTTGGGAACAATTGATCATATAGAGTTCAAACATGGTGTTTTGGATGCCCTAATGGATGCAAGGAACCCTATTGATTTGGAGTGTGGTGTGCTAGAAGTCAAGGTCACCACTGCTAAAAGTAGAATTCTGCTTGGTGAGACTTGTCCAGATGATAACTTAAGAACGAATGGTTATACAGAGTTCAATTTCCATACAAACTTGGTGTGTGGTGTGCCCTTGTAATTACGAACATTCAGAGGTCAAGGTCACTGTTGCTCAAAAGAGACTTGCTTCTCTGATAATAACTTGGAAAACTTGTATACTCCGCTTGTTTTTATGTCTTAATTGTAACTCGATGATCACATGCAGGGAATAGATATCATGGCCAAATAGAACAGATTGTGTAGATTTGTTCAAAAGGTCCTGCCTCAAATCTGATTGGTTCGGCGGGGGCGGGGGATATCCTTCCTCTGGTGGCTCTTTGGTTTCATTAGACAACTTTTTCTTAAGAACCATAATGCTTATGGTAAAGGTTTTTGCAAAAGATGTAGCTTGCTGAAGTCGAGGGTTATCAGGTTAATTCAACTGACCTTGACTTATATTTAAGGTCACAGAGGTCAAATTTGTTGAATGCAATGTTCAAACAACCACTTTACATTAACTTTGGAGACCTTTGATATTTGGTCTCCTGCTTTCTAAGGTGAAGGACTTTCAAATTTGTTCAATTGGATCACCTGACTTCCATTCTAAGTCACATATGTCAAATGTGTTAAACATTTCTTGTTTTTGGCCAGTGCTTCCTCTTTGCCTGTACAACTCCTATTTTACCCTTGCCCTATAAAAATCTTATTTACCATTTCTTTTTGCTTTTATGATTTCTTTTAATGAATCACAATGTCTAAGCGATGGCCTAGTGGCTAAGGTGTTTGACCGTCTACAATCACTAGCGCTTCACCACTGGGTTGTGGGGTCAAGTTTTATCGACTTTTTTATATCGGTCTGTCGTCGATTAACAGACCGATATAGAAAAAGTCGATAAAACGTCAGAATAATTCGGACTAAGGAACTGGCTGCAGGTTGGTGGTTTATCTCCAGGCACTCCGTTTTTCCTCAACCACCAAAACCTGGCCTTTAATGACCATATCTCTTAATAGACACTATCTCAAGGCAGCTATAAATGTTTACATGCAAAGTCATGCTTCATAAGAGTTCGTTTGGATTAAGAACATGATTGCTTCCCTGTAGTGTTATTATTGAGGATGGGACAAGTGCTGCTATAGTAACCGTCAGGGATGCTGCCATACAGAAGTTGCTGCTGCTGTCAGACAGAGAATGGTCGAGTGTACAGAGTGTGGTACAAACACAAGGAGAAATATTTCTCCAAAAGGTTGGTACACATCCTATTAACCCCTACAGAGCAAGAAAAAAATCCTGCATTACCCTCTTGCAAGCAGATTTTGTCTATGTCTATATACAAGTAAACAGTCGCGTCTACTTGTCCAATGGACCAGTGAAAAGTGGTCTATTGAATATTACAAAAAATAATGTTTTGTTAATGATCAACTAAACAGGTAAATTGGTAGGAAAAATGGCTTCACTACTGTTAAAACATATTGGGCTACTTCAATGAAATGTAGGGGCCGTGGTGGCCGAGTGGTTATGGCATCAGACTGTCTACAATCACTGTCCTTCCACCATTGGGTTGTGGGTTAGTGGTTCGAGGCCTATGTGGGGCAGTCGCCAGGTAATGGCCGCTAGTCGGTGGTTTTCCTCCACCACTGAAACCTGACCTGTCCTTGAATGACCATAGCTATTGATTGGACATTAATACAAACAAACCAATGAAATGCAAATGTAAATAATTGATAATTTTGGGACCAACACGATTATATACCTGGTATCTTTTCTATATACTGTTCCTCTTTGCCTGTACAAGTCCAATTAAGAATTCATTTTACCTGTGTGCTACAGACACGTCCGGAGTTTGGTAGTCCAGTGGAGATGTTTCTTTATCAATTATGCGAGAGCTCGCTCGTCAAGAAGAACTGGGAGATGTGGCTAAGGACCCGGACTGGGGCGTCCTCTGACTGGTCATCTGGTGGGAATCTAGATAATTTGACCTTAGAGGGTAAGGTTCTTCTGTCTGTGACTGGCTGTATCAGAGGACATTTAAATTTATAGTGAAAACAATTGAATTTTTAAAGTTTGATACAATTATTTTCCATAGTTTTATGTGAACTTCCTCTCTAATTTGGAGTACATGTATGGTATAATTTTCCTTTTGTTTTTAGCTCACCTGGTCCGAAGGACCATGGTGTGCTTATGCAATACCGCAGCGTCCGTCTGTCGTCCGTCCGTCGTCCGTCCGTCAACTTTTCCTTTAAAACGCTACTAGTCCTGAACGGCCAAGTAGATTTTGACTAAATTTGGTCTAGAGTATCCTTAGGCCTAGGGGACTCAATTTTTAGCTCACCTGGGCCGAAGGACCAAGGTGAGCTTATGCCATACCGCAGCGTCCGTCGTCCTTCGTCCATAGCCTGCGTCCGTCATCCGTCGTCCTTCGTCCGTCAACTTTACACTACTAGTCATGAACCACTGAGCGGATTTTAACAAAATTTGGTGTGGAGCATCCTTGGGTGAGGAAGAACCAATTTTGTATAAATGGTGGGTCTGGCTCCCCTGGGGGCTGAGGGGCGCGGCCCAATAGGGGGAATATAGCAAACTCTTGGAAATCCTTCTTCTTCTGTAGGAATGAAAGGATTTGGTCCATATTTGGTGTGGAGCATCATTGGGTAGTGGGGAACCAATTTTGTATAAACGGTGGGTGTGGCCCCCCTAGGACCTGAGGGGCTGGGCCCAATAGGGGAAATAGAAGTAAAACCTTTATAATCCTTCTTCTACCATATGGATTGAGGGATTTTATCCTAATTTAGTCTGGAGCATCCTTGGGCCAAGGGGACTCAATTTTGTTTTAGCAGTAGATGTGGTCTCCGAGGGGGGGCAGAAGGGCGGGGCCCAATAGGAAAAATAGAGGTAAAACCTTTAAAATCCTTCTTTTACCATAGGGATTTTGGGATTTTATCCTAATTTAGTCTGGAGCATCCGTGGGCCAAGGGGACTTAATTTTGTATATGCAGTGGGTGTGGTCTCCCAGGGGGCAGAAGGGCGGGGGCCAATAGGAGAAATAGAGGTAAAACCTTTTAAATCCTTCTTCGACCATCAAGATTAAGTGTTTTTTTCCATATTTAGTACAAGGGGTCTCAATTTTGTATAATTGGTGGGTATGATCCCCCTAGGGGCATAGGGGTGGGGCTCTGTTTGAAGTTAGTTCTCGCTATATCTCGAGTACTGGATGGATCTTTCTGAAATTTCATGTGTACTTACAGCACCTACCATGGAGTGCTACATCTTTACTTCATACCAATTATTTAAAACATATTCAGGTGAGCGATACAGGCCCTCTGGGCCTCTTGTTAATTTCTGAATTAAAGTGAGAAAATTCTGCAATTTTGAGTGTGTTTTTTTATCCAAATGCCATAAGGAAAACGAAAAATGAAAAAAAAAACCCAGTCAAATTCCCCAAAAATGTTAGGCTGCTATTATTCTAAAGTACAAACAAAATTTTGAATACAAAAATATTGTCCTTTTATATTAAATGTTTTTTTATTGAAATAGAGTTCAGTTTGAAGACTGTGGACACTGGCCTGGCGACCATGGAAACAAGATGTATGCCCTTCCTACAGCTGGACTGTGTGGAGGTCAGAACTATAGACTACAGGAAGTGGACTCTACTGTGTCTAAAGTAACCATGGAAACATTATCAGGATGGTCACTTCAGGACTATAGCTTACAGGAAGTGGACTTAACTTTGTCTTAAGTAACCATGGAAACATTATCAGGATGGTCACGTCAGGACTATAGCTTACAGGAAGTGGACTTCACTTTGCCTTAAGTAACCATGGAAACGGTATCAGGATGGTCACTTCAGGACTATAGCGTACAGGAAGTAGACTTAGCTTTGTCTTAAGTAACCATGGAAACATTATCAGGATGGTCACTTCAGGACTATAGCGTACAGGAAGTAGACTTAGCTTTGTCTTAAGTAACCATGGAAACGGTATCAGGATGGTCACTTCAGGGCTACATTCGCGTATCCCGGTTGAAACAGTATGTGTGGCGCAGAAATTTTCCACGATAAACGAACACACTTGGACCGTTCTATAAGCAGAGCTCAAAATCCACAGTTTCGGAGAATAAAAAACAATGTATCCAGAATATTATGCCCTTCTCTCATGCATCCACTAAATTACATAACGTATCTTAAAAGTTACATGTGACATGACATTGTTTAGGAAAGAAATAACGCAAATTGGTAATAGTCAGCATTTTAGTTTCGGTCAGGTATGTCTGAACCCCTCAATCTACATGTACCAAATTTTCGAGGTCAGCCTCGGTCCAAATCAGTACCTGTCGTTTTCTTTACAGGTTCAACCGGTTCAACTGTTTCAATCGGATACGCGAATGTAACCCAGGACAATAGCTTACAGGAAGTGGACTTAACCTTGTCTTAAGTAACCATGGAAACATAACTAGGGTGGTCACTCCAGTTCAAAACTACTGAGAATATACATAATTGTTTGTCTTGTGTCAATGACAATGTAAAGTACATTACAGAATAAGGATGTTGCCTCACCAGAAATTATCTACAGGATATGAAAACTTGAAATGCATTTTATTTAATACAATGTATTTTATCTTTGTTGGAGTAAGCAGCTATTTATGATGATGAAATATACAAGGTTGCTGCAAACAAAAAGTGGTTATTTTAGTGTTTCACGCTGCTTCAGCATTTACAAAATCTCTCTATAGGGATTGCCTCCCTTTGCCCTTAATCCAAATAATTATTAACACAACAGAACAAAAATGAACAAAAGATCTTTTAACAACCCATGCCTAGAATTCTTTTCCATAGTAATTATTCATTTATCATGAAACAGTTTTTCTACAAGGAAACATGTTCACAGATTGGTTGAAAAAGTCAAAAGGATCATATCTGTATGAGTAATATGGACCTCAGGTTGATAAATATTTTTACATCTATTAATTGTTTTAAGCCAACGGCCTATTTATAAAAATTGTATATGAATACATATTATTACAAATAACGACTTTCAATGATTTTTCATGGTGCTGACCCTAGTTGTGAAAATAAATGCTGCCCCCTATTCTGTGGCTAAATACTGATAAATGAGAGAACGCTTTCCAAGTTCACCAGTTCTAATTCTCCCTTTAAACATGTAATACTGAAATATTTATAAACATTCAACTTTCAAACAAATGGACCTTTGAATAAAACCAAACCTTTTACAAAACCTAAATTCACTTACAGTATGCTTTGGTATCTCTGTGTAAGTTAGGAAGAGTTATCTTTCTTCTGTCAAGTTAAACCATCTGTTGTGGTATAGCATTACAGGCAGTCAGATAGGCACCGAATAGGTTTCCTCCAACGGTATTCATAATTTAGAAAACTGTTACAAAACACTGAGTCAAGTCTCATGAGAATTAAATACGTTTTTTTTTATAATGCTATACAAAGTAAAACATTAAAAAATTGTGTTAAGAGTTTATTACTATGTCATAGCAGAATACAGTGTATTTTAAAGTCATCATTCTCTATTTTTGCAACAGGTAGGAATGCCTCAGTATAAATTACTACCAAATCCTCGTTCAAGCTTAGTGCTCATGTCAATTCACAAATATTCTAAAGATGCTGCTGTGGCCACATTGATATTACATTGTTACAACCGTATAGAAACTCTACTGTAAGCAGTCGTCATTCTAAGCTGCTGCATGAAACCAATATTTTACTTTAAACAACTTCTTCTCAATAACCAAAAGACCTAGGATGATGTTATTTGGCCATTAGCAAGCTGGGATGAAGGGCTACCAAGTTTGTTAAAATGAATGACCTTCATCCATTTTCAAGGTCACAGGGGTCAAATATATTAAAATCTTTTAATGACTTCTGAATAACCAAGAGGCCTAGGGAGATGATATTTTGCCAGTAACATGCTGGGATGAAGGGTTACCAAGATAGTTGACCTTGAAGTATATTCAAGGTCACAGGGGTCAAATATATTGATAACTGTAAACGACTTCTTCATTATAACCAAAAGGACCAGGGTGATGATATTTGGTCAGTAACATGCTGGGATGAAGGGCTACCAAGTTTGTTCCAATGCACGACCTTCACCCATTTGCAAAGTCACAGGGGTCAAGTATCAGGGTATGTTGAAATCTTTTAAACAACTTCTGAATAATCTAAACGTCCAGGGTAATGATATTTGGCCAGAATCATGCTGGTATGAAAGGCTATAAAGTCTGTTCAACTTAAGGTAGTAGTGTACAGTAGAAATTGCTTGACCCTAAAAATAAAGGGCATGTCTCAGATAAACATGGATAGTGAATTCAACCTGCACAACACACCTTCATATATATACATATTTATAAACTACATTTTGATTTTATTTTTTTAGAAAACTGATTTTTTTTTCAAAAACGGTTTTCCCCACCAAAATATGCACAAAAAAACATGATGTTAAACCCAAAAATTGACCCCGCAAGTAGATTTTGTCTTTCTTAAAACCTGTCTAAAATTCAATTTCGCCTACTCGGTAACAGAATTACTAACGTTTTAGCATAGCTCATTCCGGTGGATTTTTAGGTCACCTGAGCTTTGCTCAAGTGACCTATTCCGATCACTTTCCGTCCGTCGTCGTTCGTCGTTGTCCGTAATCTTTTTACATTTTCAACTTCTTCTCAAGAACCAGTGGATGGAATTTTTTCAAACTTGGTCAGAATTATCCTTGGTAGATGAGGCTACAAAGTTGTAAAATTGGGATTCCTACCCCAACCCCTGGGGCCAAGGTGGGGCCCCAAAGGGAAAATTAACCAATATTTCAAAAAAATTCTTCTCCAGACTCAGAGTCACTACAGTCATTTTCTCTGCATGGATGGAAAGATCATCAGGGGCTTTATTTAAATTGTAAACTTTAGAACCACTGAGCTCCGTTCTCCCTTGGGGAGGGGGTAAAGTTTATAAAGAGAAACAACACTTTTGGGTATATTTTGACAATATATTGTAGGAAATTATTCTTACTTGGTTAGAATTATCCTTGAAGGAAGATGTTTATAAATTGTAAAATTGGGATTCCTACCCCAACCCTAGGGGCCAGGGCGGGGCCCCAAAGGGAAAATTAACCAATATTTTAAAAACTTCTTCTCCTGACTCAGAGGTACTACAGTCATTTTCTCTGCATGGATGGAAGGATCATCAGGGGCTTTATTTAAATTGTAAATTTCAGGACCCCTGGACTATCCCTTCTCCCTGAAGGAGGGAATAAAGTTTACTATAGTTTATATAGAGAAACAACACTTTTGGGTATATTTTTACAACTTTCTGTAGGAAATTATTCTTACTTGGTGAGAATTATCCTTGGAGGAAGATGGTTTTAAAATGTAAAATTGGGATTCCTACCCCAGCCCTAGGGACCAGGGCGGGCCCCAAAGGGAAAATTACCCAATATTTTAAAAACTTCTTCTCCTGACTCAGAGGTACTACAGTCATTTTCTCTGCATGGATGGAAGGATCATCAGGGGGTTTAATTAAATTGTAAATTTCAGGACCCCCGAGCTATCCGTTCTCCCTTGGGGAGGGGGTAAAGTTTACTAGAGTTTATATAGGGAAATAACACTTTTGGGTATATTTTATCCATTTTCAGCAGAAAATTATTCAAACTTGGTCAGAATCATCTTGGTTGAAGAGGGTATTACATTGTAAAATTAGAATTCCTGCCCCATCCCAAGGGGCTAGGGTAGGGCCCCAAAGGGAACTTTTACCAATATTTTAAAATACTTATCCTTTGATGACATGACAAGTATTGTATTCTACTTAGTTTACATGCTGATTGCCACATCACATCTAAACAATAAAATAAAGCTACCAGTACCTATGCTATAACTCAGGTGACCGCTAAGGCCCTGGGGCCTCTTGTTCACAATATTTACACATGTGCTGAGTACAAAAATAGACTACATGAAAAGCTAGCTTTTGTTGTGTAGACACAGATTTGTAAATGCCCAAAACTGTAGTCTCAAACCAAATTCAATTTTATTAGCTCACCTGCCCGAAGGGATGGTGCGGCATCCGTCGTCCGTCCGTCCGTCGTCCGTCTGTCCGGCCTCAACTTTTTGCTTTAAACAACCTCTTCTCAATAACCAAAAGGCCTAGGTAGATGATATTTGGCCAGTAGCATGCTGGGATCAAGGGCTAACAAGTTTGTTCAAATAAATGACCTTGACCCACTTTCAAGGTCACAGGGGTCAAATATGTTAAAATCTTCAAACAACTTCTTCCCAATAACCAAATGGCCCAGGGTACTGATATTGGGCCTGTAGCATGCTGGGAT